ATAATGAAAATTATAGTCGTTTATAGCCGTTGTATTCATTTGAATTTATAGCCGTTTATAGCCATTACAGTCATTTGAATTTATAGCCGTTGTACTTCCATCATTACCAATTTGAATATCTTCCACTCCATCATTACAAATTTGAATATCTTCCATTTGAACCTTTTGAACCTTTTGGCTTTTTGCACCTTTATAGCCGTTGTACTTCTATCATTACTAATTTGAATATCTTCCACTTGAACCTTTTGAATCTTTTGGCCTGCTACTGTGCTAGGCTGTTTGAACTTTTGTTTTGGGCTGTTTGAACTCCTGACTTAATCAAATATTAAATACGTTTTAACAACATTTAGGATAAAGGTTTAGGTGAGAAATAATGGGATAAAATAAATTTTGATTAAAACATAAAATCATCAAAATAAATGTTGATTCTATTTTTCTCTTTCAAATAAATCATCAAAATAAATTTTGATTCTATTTTTCTCTTCCAAATAAATTAAAAACATAATTAAATAAATCATCAAAATAAATAAGTCTAACAGAGTGATTATAGATCAATAAATATTTTCTGATTTTTTTTTTTAACTTGTTTACATTAGATGCTTTCGTATATATAATGAAACTTATAGTCATTTATAGCCGTTATATTCATTTGAATATCTTTCACTCCATCATTACTAATTTGAATATCTTCTACCTCATCATTACTAATTTGAATATCTTCCACTTGAACCTTTTGGCCTGCTGCTGTGCTGGGCTGTTTGAACCTTTTGGCCTACTATTATGCTAGGCTGTTTGCACATTTTGGCCTGCTGGTGTGTTGGGCTGTTTGAACCTCTGATTTAATCAAATACTAAATACATTCTAACAACATTTAGGATAAAAGTTTTAGGTAAGAAATAATGGGACAAAATAAATTTTGATTCTATTTTTCTCTTTCAAATAAATTAAAACATAATTAAATAAATTATCAAAATAAATGTTGATTCTATTTTTCTCTTTCAAATAAATCATCAAAATAAATTTTGATTCTATTTTTCTCTTTTAAATAAATTAAAACATAATTAAATAAATCATCAAAATAAATAAGTCTAACAATCTTCCCCTTTTTGATGATGACACACAATGATATTTTGATTTGATTTGGGAGTAAAAAAAGCTCCCCCTCAAGTCATGCTCCCTGAATTCATTTCTAAAAACATAGGTTAGCACATGTGTAATAAATAAGCTTTAATTAACAACATGATGTAAGATTAAGATACCAAACTATAAATATATAACATTAGATTAGTTTGAAAATAATACCATAATACATAACATCATAATACATAACATCATAAGTTTCTCCCTCTGTGACATTATCAAAAGGAAATCATGGCTCAAAATCTGAAGGAGGAGGAGGAAAATGATACTGATAAATGGCATCTATACAATTCAAAACATATATATACATATATATACGATTTGCGAGCCTTTCTCTTTTCCGTTGAAAAGCGCGTCGAACACGCGTCCTCGCTTTTGCGTCAGCTGACCGACAAAAGCGAGACGGGTCAATCAACGGCCTCGGCTCTCTCTCCCTCTTGTTTTCTTCTCATCTATCTTCTTCTTAACCACTCTCTTCTCCTTCTTCTTTCTCATTCGCTGCCATCTCTTTCTTCTTCTACGTGAGAGAGATAGAACAGAGAGACTGAGCAGAGCAGAAAGGCTGCCAAAAACGACTCTCCTGTCGATTATATCTCTCTCTTCGACTTCATGGCCTTGTCACATTCCCTTACTCTCTTTTCGGACCTGAAAGATCCCGTAAGCGCTGCTGGGCCGAGTGTCCCGGCTCCTACTCTTCCCAACCTTCCTATGATGTCGATTGAGTAAATAGTGGCAGCTCAATCAGACATTGTAGCCAATTATTTCACATTGACGTCCTATATGGAGACGGTGACTGCAGTCACAAAATTGGCTCACCGACTACAGAACATGATGAGTGAGCTCCACCAGGTCAACGCCCAACTCTCGCTGCTCCAGCGCATGTACAAGGATGCACGAGTAGAGATTTGCGCACTGAAGGTTGAAAATAAAGAGCTTAAACGGAAGACCACTTCCATGGCCCAATTTGGAGTAACATTGTTCTTGGCCTTTGATAGTCAGCGGAGAGTTGTCACTCTCGACGAAAGCACGGGAGCATGGCCTTCAAGGGCCTCCCAAGGTGATAAAAAGAGGAAGAAAACGATGGCAGATGCGAGTAAATAAGATCAGCGTATGGCCGTAAAAAAAATGAAGGTTTTTTTTTTATGTAAATATGTTTATTTTGATAGGCGCATGGCCGTAAAAAAAATGAAGGGTGTTTTTTTTTTTAATGTAAATATTTGTATTTTGATTTGTTTTGGTTTTTATGTTTAAGTACTAAAAAATAAAATTAAAAAGCAAAAAAAAAAAATTAAGCCCAAACAAAAAATAATAATGAGAAAAAAAATAAAAATAAAAATAAAAGAATTAAGCCTAATAGCAAAATAAAAAAATAAATTAAATTAAAATAAAATAATATCAGTGAAAATTATACTTAATGGGACGTCAGTGTTACTGGAAGGGTAATGCAAAAAAATACCATGAGGGTTTTAAAGAAAATCAATGTATGCAAAGTTAATTTTACCTCAAGATGCAGAACCCAAAAAAAATTACACAATTGAGAATAGCAAACTGTTAAGGATAATAATTGTATGAAGGACTTGAGAGCATGCAATTGATATAAATGTTTTCATATCAATGTAGCAAACACATATATCATTTTAACAAAAATTCAAGTTTCCACAGTCATAACAAAACTTTTTAAGTAGAAATCGACATTCCAAGCTCACCACGAATAAAATTGAAGCGATCCTTGTTTAGGGATTTTGTGAAAATATCCGTCAATTGTTTGTCGGTGTTTACAAATTCAAATACAATATCCCCTTTTTGAACATGATCTCTTAAAAAATGATGTCGAATTTCAATACTAATGAGTTACCAAGAAAGTGACAAGTGCCACTGGTGCTTTTCTATCAAGTTTGCATCCGGCAAAGTCAACATCCGAGTAACTAATTAAATCAAATGCAATACCTCTAGGATAAAAAAGTCCCAAATTTTGAGTGCCAACAAGATATCTAAAAATTCTTTTAACAGCATTGAGATGTGATTCCTTAGGATTTGATTGATATCTAGCACACATACAAACGCTAAACATAATATCGAATCTATTTGTAGTTAAATAAAGAAGTGAGCCGATCATACCTTAATATTTTGTTTGATCAATGGACTTACCTTTTTTATCCTTGTCTAGCTTAATGGATGTGCTCATAGGTGTTCCAGCTATTTTTTAGTCATACATACTGTGTGGCTCCAAGCTCCAGCTATTTCTGTCTTCTCTCCTTTACTTTACGCATTCGAATTTCTGGCTCTCTCTCTCTCTAAACTTTCTCAAATCCACCATTGTTCTAACTCCAAGCTCTACAACCGTCTTCATTCCTCCATTTCAGCGAAGCGCTCGCTGTTCTGTTGTGTCTGCAATCGTTGCCCTACCTCGGCGATTTTTATTCCGACTCCATTTGTTCTGGTAAGATTCTGTTCCTTTTATTCCCAATTTCTTCCATGCGCTTTCGTTTATTTGCTGCCATTTTTTTTTTGTTCAAACCTTGGATTGTTCATCTGGATGTGTTTGTTCCATGATTTTGCTCATATTTTGAACACTTGCACTATTTCAACACTTTTCTTGCCATTGTTCTTGACTTGTTCACTTCTGTATTCCTTTCCCTTTTGCGAACCATACCTCTATTCGTTGATTCTGAAACGTCATTCTGTGTTTCTTGTTTCCTGTTTTTTCTTTCCAGATCTCTATCTTTAATTCTTGCTTTTCAATCTTTGCCTTCATAGTTTTAGGTTTGGGATTTGTCTATAGAACCTTTAATCTTTAGGGAAAACTGAAACAAACCTTATCAGTTCTTACCTAGGGCTTTGCCGAGGTTCCAATAACCCTTTAGAGCGCCCTCTTTCTGAAACCTAGCCTTCTGAACTTAGGCCGACGTTATGGGTATGTGGAGACATAGGGTAAACACCCCAACCAAACTCGAATACTTTAGGCAGAAGTTTTCTATCCCTGCCGATGTTCACCTCAGGTTAGCTGGGGATGACGATTCTATCATGCCCACAGATCATACGATGCCCTTTTCTATTGTAGCCTTTACTGAATGCGGACTTCGGCTTCCACTTAATCCCCTTTTTCACGAAGTTCTCCACTACTATAGGTTGAACCCTATGCAACTTGCCATAAATTCTTATCGAGTGATTTTTGGTATCATCGCCTTAGCTAGACAAGAAAACGTTAGAATCACCTTTGCCGATATACAATATTGTTATACCATGTGTCCACTTAACCTGAAGGAAAATGGTTATGTCTACTACCTCAAGCCGAGGTCCATCGAGTTCAAAATTGTAGCCGACCTCCCGGACTCCAACAAGGGAGCCGGGGATGACTTTGTCATTGCTTCGGGAAACTGGGAATTTGGTCCAGACCAAGATGTTCACCTGTACCCTCTTCCTCGAACAATTAAAGAGGGCAAGGGTAAGAGCCCAGCGTCAATACTTAGTCATTTTTTTTTTCCAAGTCTTCAAAACTTTCTGTTTCTAATGTCTTGTTTGTTTGTCCTGCAGATCTTCATCAGCCACCAAAAAACTTTCGCCAGTCACACTTCCCAGGCAAAGACCTGAAAAAGCTCCTAGATCTTCCCATCCAGAGGCGCAAGGCTCCACTGGTGCTGAACTTCATTCCAACATACAAATCAACTCTACCCGACGTCCCAAAAAGAAAGAAGAAGAGTCTATCTCCTCCCTCTGCTACTACTCTTCAAACAGCATCAATATCTCGGGCTGACCAAGGGTCAACCTCTGATCCAGCTGGCCAACCATCAACTTCTGCCCCATACCTAATCCCGATACCAGAAAGAAAACGTCGGCGAAGACTCGTAAAAACTGCCGAAATGGTTCGCCCAAAGCCTGTCGCCCAAGATCTCCTAGCCGATCTTCCAACCGACGTCGATGCTGTTTCGACACAACCTATGCCCCCATCGAAGCCAAGAAGAACCAAAAAGGCCCAGCCTAAGACCAAGGCTACTGAGGTTGAGGCTAAGGATGCTCTACCCATCTCCAAGCTGGCTGAAAGTAGCAAATCTCAACCTTCCGCTGGGAAGAGGCGTGCAGAATCCCAGCCATCAGAATCTACTCAACCCAAGAAGCCGAGGTCGTCGCAGACGACGACCTCGGGGTCCAAAAAATCTGATGTTCCTTGGGCTCCCCAGATTACTCTGGAAGACAGGCCCATAATGACTAGTGAAAGCGCCGATGACATTAATGTCGGTGTTGCCCTTTCTACGGCGCTGCTCCTTCCTGGTGATTTGGAGCGGAATGCCGGGTATAGTGAATATGAGAACTATGCCCTAATGCTCCAGCACTCTGTTCAAATAAGCGTTCCTGCTTAGTATTTTTTCTTCTATTCTGTTTTGTACTTAAAAATATTTTCTAACACTTCTGTTTTCTTTCAGGCCATCCAGCATGCCCACTCATTTTCAATGCAATCTTTCCAGAATCGAGAGAAGCTGGTCGACCTCAGGAGGGAGGTTTCTTCCCTCAAAAAGGAGAATAAATCTCTTGAACTAAAGATTTAAAAATTGGAGGATCAGGCCGGGGCTGCCACCAAAGCCCAAACCTTAGCCGAGGAAAAGGTTGAATCTGCTGAGGCCATTAAGACAGTTGCTGAATCCCAAAAGAAAGAGGCCGAGGCGAGAGCGGCCCAAGCCAAAAAGGAACTTCAGGAAGCCTTGGCCACAAAGGAAGCCGAAATCAAAGAGGTTGATGAGAAGGCAAATGCTCAGGGCGTGGCCGACGTCACTGAGGATTACAAGCTTCAAGTTAGGCAGGCATGCAACAGGGGATTTTCCCTTGGTTGGATGTCCCTGATAAAAAAAACTTGATCTCCCTGTTGACTCACCTTTCCGCAATGCCGATGCTATTCCTCTTCCATTTCCTCCACCTCCACCTTCGAGCCAAGCTGAAGATGAATCAGAGTCTGAGGCTGAGGATGAAAACGACAATGACGATGAGGCCCTAGTGAGGAAATCCAAGGATGCTGCTGAAGCCAAGTCCTTTCCTTCCACTAAGCAGGTCATCAACTTAACTCAAGATGAAGAGGATGGTGAGCTTGAGGAGGTGTCCAAGGAGGCTGTTCCAGGGCAGCTATCATCTGACCTTCTTCTGGCTGAAAGAAGTCTTGATAAAACAATAGCAGAGATTGACGCCGAGCTAGCAGCAGAGAAGGTTGCCGAAGTGGTTTCGCAAGAAACTTCCGAGGTCCAGACCCAAACTGCTCCTGGGGCTGAGGAATCACAACTTTGATGTCTTTCTTTTTTTGTACTTTGTACTTTGTTTTAATTTCTGGACAATGTAAGCTCCCCCTTATGGCCGATGTGTATATATAACTGCAACTGTTTTCCTCTGAATGCTTTAATTTTTATTTTCTCTAGATTACTTCTGTGTGATTCTATACTTAGCATGTGTTGCTTGCCTTTCATATCTTGTCACCTTTGTGGAATTTTCTCGGGGTAACATACCTCGGGTATAATAACTACAAGCTTTACTTTGGCAAGATACTGTCCTGCAAACTTGTCATAGATTTTAACAAGTATGAAACATAACGTTAACTTTGCAAGCTTCTTCTCAACTTTTAACAAGTATGTAAACAGTGATCTCGGTGTAACCTACTTGTAAATTGCTACAAATTTCAACAAGTGTTAACATATATTGTAAACTGTTCTCAAGTTATAACAAGTGTTAAATAATGCTCTACTTGTAAATTACTACAAATTTCAACAAGTGTTTAAACAATATACTTAGCTTTTACTTTAACCTGTAAATTGTTGCAAATTTCAACGGATGATCATATGTTGGCTTAACATCAGCTTGTAAATTGCTACAAATTTCAACAAGCGTTAAGCATCTTCCTTTGGTTTAGACAACCTATATATTGCTATAAGGGCTTAAGAAATAACCTCGGCTTCACTTCAGCTTGTAAATTGCTACAAATTTCAACAAGCGAAGAGAAGCAGTAATCTCGGCTTAACTTCAACTTGTAAATTGCTACAAATTTCAACAAGTGAAGATAAGGAATCAGCTTAATTCCAACTTGTAAATTGCTACAAATTTCAACAAGTGAATTAAGGAACGATCTCGGCTTAATTTCAGCTTGTAAATTGCTACAAATTTCAACAAGCGAAGAAAAGGAATCAGCTTAATTCCAACTTGTAAATTGCTACAAATTTCAACAAGTGAATTAAGGAATAATCTCGGCTTAACTTCAACTTGTAAATTGCCACAAATTTCAACAAGCGAAGAAAAACAGTAATCTCGGCTTAACTCCAACTTGTAAATTGCCACAAATTTCAACAAGCGAAGAAAAACAGTAATCTCGGCTTAACTCCAACTTGTAAATTGCCACAAATTTCAACAAGTGAAGAAAAACAATCAGCTTAACTCCAACTTGTAAATTGCTACAAATTTCAAAAAGTGAAATATAGGAATCAGCTTAATTCCAACTTGTAAATTGCTACAAATTTCAACAAGTGAAATTAAGGAATAATCTCGGCTTAACTTCAACTTGTAAATTGCTACAAATTTCAATAAGTGAAGATAAGGAATCAACTTAATTCCAACTTGTAAATTGCTACAAATTTCAACAAGTGAATTAAGGAATAATCTCGGCTTAACTTCAACTTGTAAATTGCTACAAATTTCAACAAGTGAAGATAAGGAATCAGCTTAATTCCAACTTGTAAATTGCTACAAATTTCAACAAGTGAAGATAAGGAATCAGCTTAATTCAACTTGTAAATTGCTACAAATTTCAACAAGTGAATTAAGGAAATAATCTCGGCTTAACTTCAACTTGTAAATTGCTACAATTTCAACAAGTGAAGATAAGGAATCAGCTTAATTCCAACTTGTAAATTGCTACAAATTTCAACAAGTGAATTAAGGAATAATCTCGGCTTAACTTCAACTTGTAAATTGCTACAAATTTCAACAAGTGAAGATAAGGAATCAGCTTAATTCCAACTTGTAAATTGCTACAAATTTCAACAAGTGAATTAAGGAATAATCTCGACTTAACTTCAACTTGTAAATTGCTACAAATTTCAACAAGTGAAGATAAGGAATCAGCTTAATTCCAACTTGTAAATTGCTACAAATTTCAACAAGTAAATTAAGGAATAATCTCGGCTTAACTTCGGTTAAGCATCATCTTGGTTTAACCAACTTGTAAATTGCTACAAATTTCAACAAGTGGTAGACGCATTTTTGTTCTCCCTGCCCCCAGTGTGGACCTGAGTTCTACTTGGGTTCTCATTGTTCATGTCTCCAAAGAATATGTAATTTTATCAGTCATATGTGTTGAAAGAACTCTGAAAAAACTTTATTGATGACATCGTCCAAAAAATAATGTACATCTAATGATAGAAAATTTCAAATTACAAGTGTTCCAAGGTCTTGGCAGTGCTTTGCCCTCGTTATCTTCAAGCCGATAGGCTCCATTGCCTAATACTGGAGTAATTCTGTAGGGTCCTTCCCAGTTTAGGCCGAGCTTGCCCTCTCTGGGATCCTTCTTGTTGCCGACGACTTTTCTCAAGACTAGGTCGCCGACTTGAAATTCTCTTGGATTAACCTTTTTGTTGTAAGCTCTGGCAAGCTGTTGCTGGTATACTGCCAGCTGAATTGCAGCTTTTTCCCTTCGTTCGTCCAGAAAATCCAGATCTCGGGCCAAGAGTATGTCATTGGTGCCATTCTCTACTCTTTGGGTCCTGATCCCTGGGATGCCGATCTCTAATGGGATGACTGCTTCTGTTCCATAAGCCATGGTAAAGGGGGATTCTCCTGTTGATCTTCTCGGCGTAGTCCGATATGCCCAAAGCACGTTGAGCAATTCGTCTACCCACTTTCCTTTTGCTGCCTGCAGCCTCTTCTTTATTCCATCCAAAATTACTTTGTTGGATGCTTCTGCTTGCCCATTACTTTGGAGAAAACTTGGTGTTGAGAAGTAATTTTTGATCTTGAATTTCGCACAAAAGTTCTTGATGAGTTTGCTGTCAAACTGTGTTCCGTTGTCGGCAACTATTGCTCTTGGAATCCCAAATCTGGTGATGATGTTTCTCCATATAAAGTTCTTGACGTCCACATCTCAGATTTTGGCAAGAGGTTCTGCCTCTATCCATTTTGTAAAGTAATTTGTTGCCACTAGCAAGTATTTTCTCTGCCCAGTTGCCTGGGGAAGTTTCCCAACCAGATCCATGCCCCATTGGGAAAACGGCTAAGGGCTGGATACTGGGTTTAGGTCAGCAGCTGGCTGATGTATCAATGGTGCAAACTTTTGGCATTGTTCACACTTCTTTACGTAGGCTTTCTTTACGTAGGCTTCGGCATCCTTCTGCATGTAGGGCCACCAATACCCCTGGGTAATGGCCTTGTGGGCTAATGATCTGCCCCCAGCATAGCTTCCACAAATTCCTTCATGGATTTCATACAGGAAATCTTCAACCTGTAAAGAGTGTACGCACCTTAAAAGTGGTCCAGTGAAGGACCTTCTGTAGAGGTGTCCATCTTCTGTCAGACAGAATCTTGCCGATTTCAGCCTAACTTTGTGTGCCTCCTTGCGATCTTCTGGCAACTTTCCTTCTTTCAGGAATGAAACAATTACATCCATCCAGCTTGGCCCCATGTCCACACACATTGCTTGCTGCTCTGTGTTCTCTTTTTCTATGCTTGGGCCCGACATATAGTCGATCATAATTGTCCTTGTTTTTCCAGTCTGTATTGAACTTGCCAGGTTAGCCAGCGCGTCGGTGTGGGTGTTGTCATCTCGGCTAACTTGGAGTAGTCGGCAGTTCTGAAATAGGGCTGCCAATCTGATGGCTTCCTTTGCATATGCCGACATTCTTTCGTCCCTGGCTGCAAATTCTCTTGTTGACTGGTTAACAATAAGTTGTGAATCACAAAAAACTATTACCTCATCTGCTTCTGCTGCTGCTGCTGCTGCTGCTAGTTTTAGCCCTGCAATTAATGCTTCGTATTCCGCTTCATTGTTTGAGGCCTTGAACTCCAAACGGATGGACTGTTCTATTATTTCTCCATCTAGAGATATCAGCAGTACTCCTGCCCCTGCGCCTTGTCGGTTTGAACTTCCATCGACAAACAGTCTGAATGAGTCGCCGATGTAGATGCTGCAGGGTCTGAGTTTTTCCTTCCTTTGCTCTTTGGTCTTTGGCTGAGATTCTCCTTGCTTGCTGGGACAATGCTCATCCTAGCTCAACGGAGCCCGATGTTCGGTGGTTTCAGGGGTGAATTCTGTCACGAAGTCGGCCAAAACTTGGCCTTTAATCGCTGTTCTCGGCCTGAACTCTATATCATACTGACCTAGGGCTACGGCCCATCTTGCTATCCTTCCTGTTAAGTCTCCTTGCTGTAATAAGGACTTCAATGGATACTCTGTTAAGACCACAATTTTATGTGCCTGAAAGTAATGGTTCAGCTTCTTTGAAGCCATTACTAAGGCTAGCATTAATTTCTCCAGTGGTAGGTACCTTGTTTCTGCGCTGGCCAGAGTTTTGCTTACATAGTAAACAGTTTTTTGCTCCCCTCGGATTAGAACTGCACTGACTGCGTGTTCTGAAACTGCCAAGTACAAATATAGTTCTTCCCCTGGTTCTGGATTGGAAAGAACCGGAGTCGTGGTCAAGTACCTATTTAGGTTGGTTAAAGCGGCTTCGCATTCTTCCGTCCATAGAAAGTCTGTGGCTTTTTTCACCATGTTGAAGAAGGGTCTGCATTTATCTGAGCTTCTACTAATGAATCTGTTTAGGGCTGAGGCCCTTCCGGTAAGTATCTGAACCTGTTTTGCCGACGTCGGGCTCTGCAGTTCTAGGATGGCCTTAATTTGGTCTGGGTTGGCCTCAATGCCCTTCCTCGTTACCAGATACCCTAAAAACTTACCTGATCCAACTCCAAGCGCGCACTTTGACGCGTTGAGTCGGAGCCGATATGTTTTGAGTATATCAAAGACCTCTTTTAGGTCGGCAAGATGACCCTTAGATTCCTTGGTCTTTACGACCATGTCATCGATGTAGACTTCTACCGTTTTACCAATCAGGTGCTTGAACATTTTCGTTACTAACCTTTGGTAAGTTGCTCCTGCGTTTTTCAACCCAAAAGGCATTACCTTGTAACAGTATAGTCCTTTAGGGGTGATGAACGCGGTTTTTTCCTTGTCTGGAGGGTACATGACAATCTGGTGGTATCCTCTGTATGCATCCAAAAACCTCATCCTTTCATGCCCTGAAGTTGCATCT